TTCCTTTAAATTGCACTGCTGTATATATTTTTTATCCTGTTTGCATTGCTGTATTGTAACTCTTTAGCCCCAAATAATATAAAAAATACAAAAAGAGAACCAGGTTTTTCTCCTCACCTTGCTAGAGTTGTGTTTTCGAATGATGCTGGTGGCCCTCTGGCTGAGCAGCTCAGTGGAATAGACTCCTTTGTACGCGGTGGCAACCTCCTCTCCTTCCCGCAGGTCCAACGCACAGCGAGTCAGGTTCAGAGCAGCGATGGGAGAGCAGCGGACATGAGTAAAATAATCTTCGCTGCCTGTCAGGTAGCCTGGAGCAGACAGTACGCAGAGTCAGAAGACAGGAATTCATCCAAATGTTAGGAAATCCTAGAATACAGCAGCACAGTTACATTTCTTTTTAATGAAACATACCTAAGTACGTGTCAAAGCCTCGGCGTGTGGGCAGGCAGTCCTTCTTGTACATGCCCAGGTGCCACTTGCCCACCATGTGCGTGGCGTAACCGGCCTCCTTCATCAGCTGAGGCAGCATTTTCTCATCCAGAGGCACACAGTAGGGCTGACAGGGCCAGATGATCTGGTGCTGCATGCCTGTGTGGATCTGAGGAGGACAAAACAAACACATATCATGAGGAAATAAACACACATTGTGTTGAAAATGACACAAAGAGTAAAAAACAAAAGGGGAAACAGAAGCCTCTGTGGTGACAGTGATGCAAAGTGAAGTTTCAAAATAAACGTCTACTTTCCACCAGCGTCCAAATTAGATTTTATTTCCCTGGAAAGTTCTTCTACACTCGGAAAAGTGTATAAACCCAAAAGTCATGCTCTGCTTTTCAAATGATCTGTAGTCTTTATGAACATGCTCCTCTTCAAATCCTTATATACAACATATGTGAGCATAATCTATAACAATAACAGAAGTAATAAAGTAAAAGTTCTGCATCCAAAATCTTTCATTACTACTTAATACTTCTATTTCACTACAGTATATAACCAATATTGTACTTTTTACACCACTAAATTTTATTTGACAACATTATTTCATTTATAATGAAAATAGAATAAAAAGTATGTCTAAAAACAGCTTTTTTTATACAGATTAATGTATCTTTATCCATAATAATGCATCCTAATTTGTAGTGGGGAATATTTACCTCTAGTGGAGTTTAAGTAGAAGTAAATAAAGTCTCTGGAGCCAGTACTGGCAGGGGATGGATCATAGCGGGGCAGCGTGTACGGGGTTTTTATTACCCGTCCACCTACCTCGCCTTCCACCCCGGAGGCTGCTTGGGCCTCAAGGTTTTGGCTACCCCCAGCTTCAGTTAGGGCGCCAGCAGCAAGCACAGTGAGCTCATCTTCCGCTGGCAACACAATAACTCCCTGTTCCACCAGATCACCAACAATTAAGTTTTTAAGGTCTCTTTTGAGTATCTGTTTAGAAAACGGAATCCTGAAGTGATTGGCAATTTGGACCAACTCATCTTTACGCCTCAGACATGGTGCCTAATTAACCAGCTGCCCACAGTCAAGTAAACTCTGAGTTAACAAACAACTTGTAGCTCAGGGTTTGGAAAAATACAGATGGAATTAATGTTGGAGGCTGTATCATATGAACACATAGAGCTAGAATCAATGATGATATGGATAACTTCAACAGGTCATGGGACCGACTGTGATGATGTAACTGACTGCATTGATGTCAATATAATTGTGGGATGTTTATATTGGTTGTTTTAAATATGAGCATTTACCATGGACCTAGATAAAAGGAACATTGTCAGTTTAAAAAAAACTTTAAAAACTACTTTTAGATATGGGATCAATCCTTTAACGGATCATCCCGGACGAGCCCCCATTTATGTTACGACCCAGCCCGGAAGGGGAAAGGGAAGCAACATAAACCAGATGGTTTTGGTAAATTAAAGTTATTTATTAATACAGAGAGTTTAACAAAAGAAATAATCAACCAACAGAAACGGGCAAGTGGGTGCTGCGTAAACAAATTGAAAACAGTATAACAAAAGGAGATCTCTAAAAATGAGATTATTGACTAACAGCTAAAACAAAAGCATGAAACAAAAACCCTCTCTTCAAACCACTAACATAAAAACAAGCTACGGGTGTGCAAACAGAGTCAGTTTTAAATCTAAACCCTGGCCCAGTTCCTGAGGAGATCACACAGACAGATCACAGTTTAAACAGACAACAGTACTTCGAGTAGGGGAAAAAACAAACACACCTAAGTCTAGTCTACTAGTTAGCTGCAATGCTAACAAAACAATTCCACTCAAACACAGTCAACATAATCACACGAGTGGCAACGAGGCAAGCTGATCACAAGAATGAGAGCTAACAGAATTATGCTGTTTAATACGAATACTCCGCTGTATTAAATAGCATAATTCTGATCGTATATTATATTATATCTATACACAATTATACTATTAAGCATAGGTGGAATGTCTAAAGCACTTAGTGTAGGTGATTCACTTCATTGCAATAAATAAAAGTTCAGAAAGTCTAAAACTCCATTACATGTCCATACACTATGACTGGATTAACCTGCATAGAGGCCACAGTGAAACATAAGTCACTGTACATTGTGCATGACAGTGCCATGCTGGAATCTTCAATGACCCCAAGTTGACCGTGTTTGATTACACACACGTTAAAGGTGCAGTGTGTAACATTTAGGAGAATCTAATGGCAGAAATGGAATATGTTTTCATTAGTGTATAATCACCTGAAAATAAGAGTCGTTATGTTTTTGCTGCGTTAGAATGAGACGTTTTTATTTACAAACATCACGGGTCACCCTCCATGGAGTCCACCATGTTTTTAGAATGAAGAAAACCCAATACTAGATAGAAACCTTCACACTTTTTTGTACGTTATGCAGCCACCGTAGTTTCTCCATCGTGCTTGGCATAGGAGGGTGAAGACTAAGTTGCAATCTGCTACTACTAAATGCCACTAAATCATACACACTGGACCTTTAATTTGGCATATAGGGCCTACTCTGCGTGCACAGTACTAAAAATACTGATGGTTTTTAAACTAGATTTTGACCAGCACTACAAACATATGACGGTTTTACAGAATATGATGCATTGCTGCAGATTAATCTGCCCATCTGTATAAAAAGTAGTTAAAATGAGCACAACCTTAAAAACTACAGCAGTAAAATGCCACATACATATTAATGCATTAGTGATATTAATCCAAAATTTTCATATACAATAGCAAACACTGACAGGGACCATTTTTCTGCATAATGAGTACTTTTAGTTTTGATACTTAAAGTTTAATTTTTGCTGATAATACCTCTGTACTTCTGTAAAGGATCAGAATGCTTCTTCCACCACTGTTAAAGGATTATAGTTTACAAAGTTAGACACCAAAGATGTTCTGGAAGTATAGTTTATTACCACATAAAGCAGTACAGATATTTTACCTCATAATTTCTCTAAATATATTTAAATATAGTTTGTTTTCTTTGTGGGTTTTGACAAAGGCACTAACCAATGCGTGTAACATGGGTATTAAACAAGGAACAGTCATTAGACGGGTTTTTGTGCAAAATCTTATAATAGTACATGTGTAACAAACATGCACATACGTTAAAGGACACATAATATATCTCTGGAAAATGTAACCATTCTCTCATATGCACTCAGGATGAAAATAAACACCTCCTTCATAGGATTGTCATTTGGCAGTATTAACCTTCGTACTTTGGCACGCATCTTGTTCAGCAGGTCAGTCAAGTCATTTGGCAGTTTGAACACATGGAATATAGAAATATACATTTCTACAACAGTACTACACAGTCAGCTAAGCCTCTCAAGGGCTTGAAGAACACTGCAGTGGAATAAACCTGTCTGCCCACTACTCTCCTGAGTAACCAGAACTCGTCCATCAGGTCGAGGTCTGTGGACGAGGACAAGCTCTCCTTGAAGCAGACTGAGCTCTGAGTCCGTCTGGGCTAAATGCGTTGTGGTCACTCTGTGTCTGAAAAAAAGAGAGTAAAAGATGCCAGAGGTTTGTTTTCCAGTCTGTCAAATCAATACAATAGTTTCAAATCTACCCTGTCTGTCTGATAATCAAGGTTTCAGTATAAGCTGAAATCCAACGTACCTGCTGGGGCTGAACTGAGCCGAGACGGCTGAGAGAGACGGCTGTGATGGTATCGGTTTCTGCGGGTTAGAGTTTAGATCTGAGATGGCTGTTTCAAGGCCTTTCCTGAGAATAGGAACTTTTCCTTCTTTGAGAATGATCCCTGGTCCGTCTCTTCCCAGGGTGAGCGATGGGGCCCACACTTCCAACGGAGGGGGGCCAGGGCGGCAGTTGGAGGGAACCTGATTTCCTGACGACCAGGAGGAGGTCCGAGGTCTTGGAGGAGGGGAGTCTTCATCTGTAAGGAACCGTACTGATTTTGCCGGCTAGGAGAGTAAAATATTTACTGTAAGGCACATGCAGAACAGTGATCACAAGAATGGTTTACAGAGAACTTAACAACAACAACAACAACAAACTCATGTCTCGCAAGACATCATCAGTATTACATTACCTTGTCTGTACTGTTCTTGTGTGAGTCTGGTCTGACTAGAATCGAGTGAGGCCCATTGGAAGGATGTCTGTCATGCTGAAATGTTGCCTCATGTGAGGCAGTGAAGTCCCTGTCCTTAAATATTGCAGCAGCAGAGGGCGCTGCTGGCTCAGTCATCCAGCCTAGTGGTCTGCCAGAGTTGGACAGGATGCTGAAGTTCTTCTTCCTCTGCAGGGCAGGTGAGTAGCCGGACGCCTGAACTTGTGCAAAATGCTGTGAGTTGGACGGGACGTTCATATTGGACGTATGGGAGAAATGGTTTGAGCCTGAAAAAACATTTAAAAGACAATCTTTTACAACTTGGAAACATCTCTCAATTTACTCAAGCAGTTAGAAGATAGACGTGGTTCTCACCTCTATGAGGGTTAAAGATGCGTCTCACAGCGTCCCAACCTTGTGCACTCCCATAGAGGGAATGTTTTCCAGTGCCAGTGGATGACATTGCATGCTGTGCTCCATTTGGCACAGATGGGACCTGTCCTGTTGAGTATATCGTTCCATCAGAGTTTACCCTATCAAGAGCAAGGACCACAGCAGGATTCTTGGCAGCTGTGGGTTTCTTTCCTGTTACTGTGTTGTACTGCGAGGACGCATTAGCTGCTTTGGTCTCCAGGAGCCTGGCCGAGGTTCTGCAGTGAAGCAATGAGACACTTTAGTGCAAGCTGAGAGTACCTACTGTATATCACTTGTTATACTGTACTAAAAGATTATTTGAGCCAAGCACCAGCCTCAATGTCATATTTCTGTTTCATGAATCATTTAAATGTGTGCATGATGACATGTCGTCCTGCCCACACAAAATTACTGTCTGAATCCAAATGTCATTTAGCTCCCACTTTATGCAGTCAGGGATCACAGCCTCTCACCTGAGCACAGGCGAGATGTAGTTGCTGGGCAGAATGCCCACTTTGCCCGTTCTGAGCGATAACCCACGCAGCCAGCCTTCTTTGAACTTTCCGTACACTCCCACCATCTCTCCTTTCCTCAGTTCCAGCTCCTCTGGTCGTCGTGGTTTGTAGGAGTACAGGACGGCACACCTGAGGAGGGTTTTGTCTATGTTACTTACCACACTTTCTACAATATATATATCCAGATTATAATGTATTTTTTTATGGGTTTTTGAGTGCGTCTCGTTTCTTTTTCTATCCATATCTTGCACCTGTGACCCGACATTATCATAATTTCATGTTTAAAACAGTGACTCACACACTGATGGAGAGCTGTTGCGTGGAGGAGTTTTTGCCATCTGCAGAGGCAGAGGACATTTGGGGGTTCACCAGGGCCATAGAGATGGTGGGTGGAGTCTCACTGCTCATCTTCTTCTCACTCTGTAAAGGGATGGATTCAAAGGTATCATCGTCATAGGGAATGCAAACGGTAGCACATTATTCAGAAAAACAAAATGAAAACAAGAGTCTAAAGCCACGCTAGCCGCTTTGTCCACCAACAATCATTCATGGCGTAAGTGTTGAAACTGTCCAGACTTCCAAATACTTGGGAACTGTGTTTGGTGACAGATTGAGATTTATTGAAAATACAGATGTCATTGTGAAAAAGGCTCAGCAGCGTCTGTACTGCCTATGCAAACTCCTTTGAAGTAGATCAGATAATATTCTAATTCCTCTTTTATCAAAAGTGTTTTAACTCGACATTTTTTGACACTGCTGACATGAAGCCTTTGTGGTGTTAGATATTAATGATTAGATATGGACTGACCACTGCCATTCATACTTGTGTTTTTCAACTCTAACATGAATATATTTGCATTTTTAGATTTTGTTATGTGTGTAAATGTATTGTCTATGTGTACAACTGTTCACAAATTTGCTTGCCTCAAAATTATTATTTTGAATATATTTTTAATTTAAATGAATTGAATAATTAGGCACAGCCATACTTGGAGCTAAATGCTAATTTTGCCAGGCTAACATGCTTACAATGACATCACAGCATGCTAGTGTGCTACCTTTTTGGTGTAAAGGACCCTCATATTGATACACATCCAGCCATGGATCTGTATTTGATAAGTATTAGTCTCCCCTGTCTAAAAAGATTGACTTATTCCAAAATTGTCTATACTGTAGATTGGGAGATATATGAAAAGAACTGCCATTCTTCATTGGTCTAATTTTTAGCTGATCAATAAAGTGAAATTAAAATTTTACCCATTTTTGTGGGGACCCCCTGGACCGCAGGTTGAGAACCACAGGTTTAAAGGGTATAATGGTTATCATTTTTACTGTCTTTAGTGTGTTAACATGTTAACATTAGCCCATATTACTGATGGGAACATTAGTATTGTAGGTATTTGGTCATAAAACAAAGTATTTGACCAGATGATGGCACATGATGAAAGTCAGGATCACCAAAGTTGATGCTCCAAAATCTCCTGTATGTGTGCAATTAGGTTGACATATGATGACTGCAAAAACCACAGCATATCATTTACATCATTTTCTTAGTCATCAAATGAATCAGCAGCGCCTGATGTATGAAAAAATGTCTGTTCATTTTTTTAGGGATTTCCTTTATTTTGTCACCCGCCTGTACGTTAGATGACTTTTAAGTGCTCAAGTCTTAACTCCACATCTATCAACACAGAAACAAGGATGCATATATCTTAACGTATGTAACATATGTATGTAACACACAGGTACAATATATAATGGCCTGGTACACTTCTTTTGCATTTTATCTTCATAGATCCAAGCTTCTCTTTTTCAATCTGAGAGCTGAGAAACTGACAGGCTTGTAGTCAGCAGGATATGAGTCAGGCCCAACACAGACGGCGTCTAGCAGGGAGTGATACTGAGGTGTGTCTCACAACCATTAACGACAGTGTTAATTACTTAATTACCTTACTTAAGAGCACCTTTTAGTGAGATCTTAATTACACTTTTTATTTTCTCCTCCAACCAAACAAATCCCACACATAATGTTTTCTTATTGTTATCATTACAGAGGGGTAAAAATAACTTTCCTGGTGCTTATTATCTCTGCAGTGACGTCTACAGAGCATTGCTGCTATTTACAGCCCTACCACTCAACTAAAGCATTCATGTTGGCCTGCTGGCCTGGGGTTCCCTCTATACAGCCTAAATCCTACAGCTCTCCCACCATTAAGCTGCAATGCATTTACACTGTACCTCAGAGAAACACAAAAGAAGCCATAATTAGGAGGCAGCCACTGATACAAGTCTTTCTTGTGAAAGGCAGTGCTGTGAGGCAGAAGTAAAGCCAGATGACGTTAGAAAATAAAATCCTGAAGAGATTCCATAACATAGGAGAGTGGATGGATGAGCATCACCGTCATCTATAGTTTTTTTGTCTATAGAGTTTTGTGTCTTTTATGATACACTCACATGACATTTACGCTAAAAGCAGCCATGACTACGGGATTAAAAATGTTGTATGATGCAACAAGAAAAAAAAGCCCAAAAACTACCTTTTTCATGTATTAAATTATTTAGTTATTTTCATTACTCTGTGTCCTTTTCTATTCTTGGTTTGTGTTTTATCAGATACAAAGAGCCTGCTTCACTTACGTTGCAGTCACGCAATGTCCAGGTGCATCGACCCAGCAGTTGCTATATTTACACAGAAAGAGGATTTCCACTATTGGTCATGTAGTGAATAAAGTCTTAAGTGGTCGACATACTCCAGCAGCGAGAATCCCTCCTGCCATAAATAAACCAATTAACAGAATATTAACGTCCACTTTTTTTATGCCAACGAGAATCTTTCGCCTCAGTTAATCAAAGAAGACTGTTTTGTATGGAGGCTCAAAGTGTTGAGAGACAATATGAAATAAATAAATACTGATAAAATATATTATATGATGATATTATTGTGAATCAAATATAAATTCTGCTCATTATAATTGAATTTTCACAACAAAAGAGTATGTTGCAAGTCATTTTTATTTAGTTCGAACAGTTTATATATATAAAAAAAATCTTGAACACGAGTCTCCATAGCTTTAATCATGCGAACTGAATTGAGCCTTTTAATGCATCAACCAGTAACTAGGTTCTTTAGCAATCTATTTTAAACATAACATTTCCCCTGTAAACATAACACATGACCAAACTGTGAGAAAAGTTAGTAAAATGTGGTTTTGGACACATAGATAGTGAATACTGTCCCTGTAAGATGAAGATAAAGTTAAAATGTGCCAGAATTAATCAATAACATCAAGGCACTGCACACCCACACAGGTGTTTTCATTTAAACCTTTAGCCGGGTTGAAGTTGGGTGGAGATAAGCTGGGATTTACTGGTGTCGCCAAAGTCTATCATGTAGTAACGTTCGACTTGTTTGAGATGAGCCAGGCTTGCATAGATCATCAGCCACACAATGAATAATTAGATTTATGTCCTGACTCACTGTGGTATTTTGTTTTTGTATGCTTCAACAGAATACAATGTGTGGTTTCTTTCATGAGAAGCTGAATAAATTCATTCTAAATATTCAGGATACAATAAAACAAGTTTGTGAGGCAGCACAAAACCTTTGGTAACGAGCAACATGTGAAAACATCTATACAGACGGATGTCAGGCCATGATTGTCTACTTGCACCCAACATATCAATAAAGGAAGCTTGAGTATTCCTTCTTTCTCCTCTCCCTGTACATGTGTGCAGTTGTGAAGATGTTTTGACTATTAATTGGTTTTAAATTTCTTTTTCTCTTTACATAATTTTGTTATGCAAAACAAGTTGAGGTTTACACATTAACGCTGTCAAGTCATCATCACAGACATACTGCATTTCTAACAACACTTGGGTGTATAAAAGCTTAATAAATAGATGGACAATTTATTTGGGATCAGAATCTGTTTTAACAGGAAATAATGTCCATCAAGCATAGTCGGGACATGCCCACACACGTAGGCTTCAGGAGGTCTAATCAGGCAACATAAGTGAAAAACACCAGTGTAGGTGGACAATGAGGCTTTAAATGTTTAAATAGAGCTTTTATGGCTGAGCTGCAACAAAGGATTATTTCATTATTGATTCATTTGCATATTTTATTTTCTTAATTATTCATTTGTTCCATATAAATGTCAGAAATAAAAGTGAAAACTGTGTGGACCACTTCCAAAGTCCAAGGTAACGTCTTGAAAAGCTGAAAATCCACAAATTTGACAATCTCGAACTAAAGAAAATTGAAAATAACTATAAAACAATTAATTTAGGCTTTTATTTAATTCAATCTCAACTACTCTCACACCCTCTTCGCCTGCCTCAGCAAAACATCCAGCCACTTACAAGTGCTGCTAAGCCTTTGACCAGAGCCTCCTCCCATGTGTGTCACCCCTTTGATTCTCTACACTGACTCACCATCAAATTCACATTTAACTCCAGATTACTGTGATCATTGTGACTTTTCAAGCTGTCCATTTTCAGGCACCGAACTACAATGGAGATCTGCTGCTGCTGCCCTACGTCACCAGTAGGTCTCAGGTCTACTGCTAAATAATTTGTTGGTGATCAGCTAATCATTTCAGCATGAATACAGTCAATTCACAGGCTTTAAGGGTAACCAGAGATAACTAAAGTACACACATTTTTTACTGAAGTAGAAGTACAGATACTTGTGTAAAATATACTCCAGTAAAAGTAGAAGATTCAACTTCTTTACTCAAGTAAAAGTAAGAAAAAACAGTAAAGTATTTCCTAGTTTCTCTAAAGGACATTTCGACCAGCTGTTTCTGTGCATAACTAAAACTTAAAACGTCTCCCTCTCTCTTCTGTTTTGTCTTTTGTTTTCAGCGTTTTTGTCATGAACCGGTACATGCATGTCTAGGCTTGATGTTGGGAAGGTGTGCAATAATGCAAAAACATAATAATCATAATCAACACTTACCTTCAAATGCATTAAAACTGAAGTAGGAAGTACAGATATTTATGTGTAAAAATGTAGGGGAAAGTAAAAGTGGAAAGTTGTCAGAAAAATACAAACTGAAGTTAAGTACAGATACCTGAAAAAACTACTAAGTAGAAAGTACAAATACTTGAGGGTATCTATATATATTACATATTTTTGTTTACCAGTAAAGTGTGATATGGAACTGATCTTTTCTATGTTGCATCTGAAGGTGTTTTTGGCTCTTTTCCATCCTCTCTTACATAACCATGCCAATATTCACACTAATATGCATTATTTCATCCACAGTTGGTGGGAAGCTGCATCTCTCTGTGAAACAGTGGAGCTAGAGGTGAGAGCTGATGGGATGCAGCACTAAGAATAGCACACATGCTGGCGCGGTCAGTGGGGAGCTCGCTCTCGGCTTTAGGGACAGAGCCCTCCGCTCCTTTAAAAAGGGAAGTGCGTGGCTTGTCTGCTATTACTGGCCCACTGATGTGAAAGTGAGTGTTACCTGCTTAGTGAAGAGGAAGGAGTTTGAAGGCAGGGGAGAGAGGGGTCTGTTATGTAACCAACTTCACCAGTGACTCATCATCATCAGCATGAGAGAGATAAGCAGACACACTGAGGGACTCTCCAAGCCTCCTACTCTCTAAATCTATCTCTCATTTTTCCTCCTCCTTCTTCCTACGTCTTGTGTTTTGCCTTTTTGCAGCTCACACTATTTGTTTTCTTTCTCTTCCCAGCTATACGCCATGTTTTTTTCCCCCCTGTATTTCCTCTCACCTTTTCCTCTTATTTTCTTATCTCTTCCATTTCCTGCTTTTTTATCTTGTTCTCAAGTCTTAAGTCTCCTCCCTTCCTCTCCTGGTTTTTCTTTAACATGCATTTTTATGCTCTGACGTGTATAATTGCAATGTAGAGGAGTGAAATTTGAAGTGAATCAAAGGAAATCATTATCTCAGTGGGCAGGGCACTTGGCAGCAGGTTATATTATTAAACCGTGCAAGCTTTTATGTTGGCACTGTACTTAGGCACTAGCTGGCTACATTTCTTTTATGTAAATGAATGGCAGTGTATCCAGCTGTATACATACAATTTTGTATATGAAATGTATCCATCTAAAGCTTCAAGCTCATGTGAACAGACCTAAGTAAGTTAATATTCTTTTAGCATGTTCTTATGTTGCTTTCTGATGGTCATCTAAACATATCTTAAAAATGAAATTAAATACCCCAAAATAATCCAAAATTGTCTCATGCAGATGATCATCCTCCTCCATCGTTCTGCCATGTGATACAGGATGTATAAAATATGCAGCAGATATCATGTTGGTCACATGAGAACAGTGGGTTAGCAATGCATCCTGATAGCTTGACCCAAATGTTCCAAAACTATAATCAGTTTTAATTCATAGGCAGCCCTGAAAGAGCCTCAAGAATTTATTGAAAAACAGAAAACTGTTAGGAGCTTTGCCTCACACACTCTTGTTAGTTTAGATGGCATCATAAGAGTAGATTTGAGCTCGGTTTTACAGTTGCATTGTTATTAAATTGGGCCATAAACACTTGCAACACAGTGTTGCCTTCCAGGGATAAAACAGTTACACAACTATATATTTATCTGCACTGAACAAAGGAAAGGGACACGCACTCTGTTAGACTGCTGTTCATCTCAGAGGGGAAACCCTTGGCTTACGGCCCAGGACTCTTGATTAAAGACCTTTCAAAGTTTCGATCAGGTCACCTCCACTCCTCACTCCTTTTATATCTAACGCTTTCCCACATCTGCGTTGTCTTAATGAGAGCCACTTAGCAGCCAAAATATGGGCGATGCCTCTCACTCATTCATTCCTTAAGCTAAGTGTCATGGTTCCCTCCCTGTACCCCTGAGGACAACTTGATCCCTCAGTGACTCAATAAAAAAAACGATTATCTCACATTAACCACGTTTTCTTTTAAAACAAATCACTGCAATCAAAAGAGAGCCAACACACAGTTCAGCTCAAAGATTGTGAGGAAGAGGAATAACTTCATCACATCAGTTTAGCATGCATAAAGGCCGATCTGTTGGCGCATGACTCACCTGTAACAGGTGTCTGTGTGTGGTGTCAGAGTGGCGTCTAATTCGCTGAGAGTTCACTCTGGAGGAGTGAGAGAGGCCCCGGGTGGCAGGAGGCACAGAGAGGCAGTGAGACAGAGCCTGACGTTTAAAGGTGCTGATGTTGGTCGTCTCTCCTTTGGTAGTCTGATGGAAGTTGATGCTACTGGCTGCGGGCTGTTTCTGCTGGTTGGAGAGGTGCAACGCATTGAAGATGGGTGTCTTTGCTGGGACTTGAGGGACTCCGTAATGGGTGGTCCTATTGGATACGTCAGTGGCCTTGTCTTTGCTCCCACTCCCAGTCCGATGGTGAAATTCTGCTGAGTCACTCCCCTTCCGATTCTTTCCCTCTAGCAGTTTGGCAGCCACTGAGTTTGGCTAAAAGAGATGAAAACATAAAAGAGAAATCACAGTGGAAATCGGGATAAATCCTAACACACAGAATAGTCAAACCTCAGTCAACAAAATCCTCTCCAACTCGCTCCTACCTGCTACTAGCGCCTTTCAACCTCTGCTCCTGCTGATCAGCGAAACGGCTGTCTAAATACACCCACTTCTCACTACTCCACTCACCCCTACAACTTGTTGGACAGACAGGCAGGCAAGAGCATAAGTACCAGCCAATAAGCCAGCAAGGGTTGGATGGTGCTGAGAGAGGAGCTGCACAGACGGGCAGGCAGACAGACAGACATGGCAGGGTTAATGCTTTCACTCCCCACAGTGATGTGCTGTTATGCCACCCAAGCAGAGAAAGCATTACTGTGTCTTCACGCCTGGCTGCACGACACAAGGAGAGGCAGGCTCAGAAAGGAGAGGGGAGACGAGAAAAGAGGAGGATTGAAGAATAGAGCGGAGAGGTAGAAAAAGATGAAGAGCTCCGCCGAGGCGGGGCTTCGGGAGGAGACACGGGTGGACAGGAGACGGAAGGAGGCGTAAGAGGCGGAGAGGACTAATAACAAAATATGAGGATAAACTATAGCAAAACAGATGACAAGTGAGGGGAGTAAACAAGAAGTGAATGAGGCACCACATTAACCCCACTGTAGGGACAAATACAAATGTCCCCGGCATGGGTGAAGTTAATTCCTAGAGGCAGAAAGTACAGAAGATAACAAATGACAGTCAGCTAGCTAAACAAGTTCTACAAACCTGAGTAAGCCACATAGTCACACACTAATGAGCAGCTGCAGACACAGCAGGGCTTCACAGATTAGCTCTCTGCCTCAGCCCTTTGCAGCACAGGAGTGACATTTACGGATGAATCAAAGATTTGAATGAAAATCAAGGTAGCGCCCTGGCAGTGACCTGGAATTAATGACATCCAGCGACGACATCTATGGTTCAATTCATTGCAGGAGCTACACCATCAGACCAAAGTGCCAAACGGCAGGTGTCAACCTTGATCACGCTGAAAAGGCCACAACCCACATTCAAACAATGAAGGAAGGGAGAAAAAAAAAGAGTGAGCTAAGAAGGAACTCACCTCTGTAAACTGCAGAGGGCAAACTCCAACTTTCTCCCCTAGCTTGGCTTCGATCCAGTGTTCATCCACACGTTTGATGACAGTAAGGATGTCTCCCTGTAAACCCGAAATAAGTAAGTCACACAGAGAGAACTGAACTTAAAGAAAGTATAGGAAAGGTGAGACGCAGATAAGCCGCTGGAATAAACACAGAGGACCGTGCCAGGTGCCTTTTAACAGAGTGTGGTCGCCCTGGAGACTGAGCACTCAGCTCAGAAATTCTCCGAGCCCTGAGTTTCTCCTGCAGCATGTGACATCAACTCCTTTTGTGTCTGCAGGCCCAGTCCTTTCTGCGGCCGGCCTCGCTCTAAAAACCATTTGACCATCTGCATTAAAACAGAGCAGGGAGAAAAAAAGGCGAGCGCAAGTGTGCTTTAATGGAGAGCAAGTACTGAGGCCCTTACGTAACGGCCTCAGAAATCCTTCAGGGTAAGTAACAGCCACTGGAGCAGAGGTCTGAGCCTCCAGCTCACAACTCTCTCAAAGCAATGGAAATAAGAAAAAGAAATGACCATTATGTATTTGTACTATTGGGAACTTCCTGTGCTGTACATAGACTACTATAAGTTCATGTCCAAGAACGCCACATCGGAGTGATACTGAATGGGTTAAATATTTAAGCTAATATCTAATCTAATAAATACGTCAAATATCAGATTGACAGAAAATCAATGTTTTGAAAATGCAGTTTCTTTTACTGGTTCCAGTTTCACATCTTATGTAGGCCAAACAATGGTGAAAATAATCGATACTGAAAATAATCAATAGTTGCATGCATTGAATATTTAGTTTTTCTCAGTACATGACTGAAATGATTCATCACTTGATATTTCAGCACTAACAGCATCACTAAATGTCCCAATCAGGGTTTCCCCAGTAATTGTTTAGCAGGGGTTTGTTAGTCGCAGTCAGATGCATCTCATCTTAAGATAAAGTGGATGATGGTCTAAACAAAAGACTCTACTCTACTCTAATTAAGGTCAAATAGCAGCTTTGCCTTTTCTCCCTTTAGGTTAATGTTTCATTATTCCCTGAGTGTTACGGTTAAGTGTAATAATTGTCTTTATGCATTCATTAAAGAGTAGGAACCCCTGCAAATATTTTACAAAAATCAAGTGTTATAAGTTTTCCTGCTGTGTTAAGTCAGTAGTTTGAGAGTCAGACCTTGAGGAAGCTGAGACAATATTTATTGTCTTCCAGATTCATCTCTTTGGGATTAAAGTCGAACAGCGCCCTGCAGAGAGGTGGAGGCTGGGACTGCTGGAGGGGCTGCAGCTGAGGCATCTGGCTGGCGGCCTGCAGTGTGCTGGCTGTAGCAGGCGCACCGCTACTGTCACCGGTGTTTCCGTGGTGCCAGTCCTCATCCACTTTGTGTTTCGGGGTGATATCGTTTCCAGGCGTGGGCACCAGCTCCCCTGATGGGTCACCTCGTTGGTAACGCACCGGAGCTCTGAGAAAAAACTGAAGAGCAGACGGAAGTCACATATCAGCTACTGTATGGTGAATTTATTTTTCATGATTATATACATTTCTGAAGAGGGTGAAATCAATGTGTTTAAAGATGTTGGGGGCGTACAGACCCTCTGGGCTGCACTAAAACACAACCCTACATATTTTGTCCATTCATTTAACTGTGTGAACAACATGTGAACCAGGTACTTTGCAATGATGAGACAACCTCTGTAAAATGATCCAGACACATCTTAAACATTTGTTAAGAAGAGTGCGGGGTGACAAAACGTTGCATGCTTGTTTTGCAGATTTTGTGCTGAACAGACATAGATGCATGATGTTCTTATCTAGATATGCAGATGTGTTAAAACTTACACATCCTTTTTCCCGTTAATGATGTTATCAAGTATTGACTCAAGCTTTTTTTCAGTAACGCTCTTTCAGTTGACATGACACACAAATTTTTTTTTAATATTCTGCCAAAAAACGTATAATATATTCATACACATACATATATATGTATATCTGATGTTTAAACAGCAGGATGATCACAAACTCAGTCTCATGAACTTGGTGTTTGGAGCTTTTTGAACTCTGGCTGAACTTACGCTAAGGATCACAACTAAACTCTTTGATGCTCTGAACAGTTTATACACGGGACTATAGTGAAGGCAGGTCTCTGCGTTCCTCACCACCTCGGAGAATAACCCTTATGATAAGGATTAAAGTGGTAAATACAGAACTGAGTAAACTATTTTTTACCCACCTTGTTTCCCCTCTTTGATTGAGACAGTTTATCTGAAATTAGATTAGTAAATGCTCATTTCAAAAGAAGTTGAAATTGTGGTTAAACTAGTTTTATTTAGTTTTTATTTTGGTCAACACACCAATGATTATTGGCTTGTCTTTGGACTGCACGAACCTGTAAGAAAAGTGCTGTACAAATAAAGTTTGATTGAGTTTAATGTTCTCAGATTTCAGTCAGATTTGAATCTGGTGACTTCATAAAATAAGACCGAAACTAAATAAATAGAACGAGTCCTAACTTGAGAATTCATAGAAAGTACCTCAGAGCCTCAGTTCATAATGATACACACGTTTTTGTTCTATCAGAGAAGGTTTTCAACAATAATATACCAGTAATTCTGATTCAGTTTAAGGTATTAAATAAACTTCATTACTCCAATAAGTCACAAGCTGTAATTCTGTGAGCCCCTATGATACAGATGTAACTATTTGGTTTCTTTTGGTCACTTGTTTGAGTCCTGTCCCTCATTAGTCAACTAAAATGTTTATCTACAGAGGGAGAGAGATGTTGGTACAGTCACAGTAACACTGGCTGGAGATACGGCCTTTCACATTTTGAGTGATTTTCACAGCTGCTATAGTTTCTCCTTCGTGGTTGGAAAGGGAGGGTGAAACGAGTAACACTGCTAGATGAACACTGGCTCTTTAATATTTGGATCTTTGTTTGTAACACTTATTTCCCCATCAAGTCAACTTAATGATCAAATACTGTCAATGCATCTGACCCACCCTTCCTGTCTTAGTTTGAGATACTCATCTTCTGCAAAACTTTTTCGCAGAGCTTTAATATTCCTACAATTACTGCCCTGTATAGTACGTCTTTAAAGTTACAACAGAGCTCTCCCCACTCGAGTCGTGTCTGAGGAGAGGGAGAAGACGTATCGGGGGCTCCTTTGTTCTCCGTGATGTGAGAAGCACCAGCTGTCTTAAACGCTGCTGTAGTGTAATGGCAGACACCATTAGGACAGGTTTGAGGAGATCTCATCTCTTCTGTATCTTCTGCGAAAAATCCCACTTTACTAGGACAAGTGTGTAAGATTTAGCAGTGAGAATCTGGCCACGGTGGGCTCCACCTTATTGTCATACCTTTGTTGTTTCTACTGTAGCTCTCCCTTTAATGTGTGTGGGTGCATTATAGGCCAGTGTGGGCAATGTTAGAAATCAATGAACAGGAGTGCTTTATGGCAACACTGGATTTCTGTATGATTTTTGCCTCAATGTGACACAATTCTTGGATTTGTTTGATATTTATTCTGCTGGTTTACATCCTTTATCACAGTATATATAAATGCTGATTTAAATTGACTGTATAAAGAGGTTAGTCTCCATATTGCGCACCCCGAAGAGGCTGAAAAAAAATTATAACCAATGGCAACAAATGCATTCAAAATCTGAAAATGTTGGGTTTTGGAAAATCAGTAACCACTGAGCCAACAAACCAGTCTTTGTTGTAAGAGAGAAAACCCTTTGGGTTGCACAGTGTAGTGTGTTGTGTGGCTTTGAAACAATATGTAGGTTATGGCCATCAAAAGACTGTAAAACTCATGTATTCACTTGCAAGACTGGAGAGGAAGTTGTTCTAGGTCATATTGCTACTTCTAGATGGGTTTAGGCCGGGGTCGTGCACTGACCTCATTGTGCCCTTGCTTCTCTCTGGGGTGACTCTCCTGCTGCTGCTGCTGCTGCTGCTGCTTACCCTCCCTGACTGTCAAGCTGCCCCTGGCCAAGGGCACTGAATAGCGGGCTGTCTGCCTGTCCCTGCTGGGCCCCGGTGAGCCCTGGAGCCCCTCCAGGAGCCGCACGAGCAGGAGGTTCACAGGAAGCTCCTCCACCGTCCTGGCCGGGACAGGAGCGCGACACTCAGGGCAGAGCAGCTGGGACTGGGCTGCCTCGTGCTTCTGCAGGCAGGACATACAGAAAGTGTGCTGGCAGGGCAAGACCTTGGCTGACACATCCAGCTGCTGGAAACACAGAGGACACTCCAGCAAGGCCATCAGAGCCAGCTCCTCCATTTTAAAAGGGCCCCCTCTCTTCGGGAGCAGGGCTTCTGGTACACGTGAAACACTGTAATCCACCATACTGAGAGGGGAGAGGAAGGAGAAGCTGACTTAATGAGGTTAAATTCCACAATTAAAGAGTTACAACATTAATGACCAAAGTCTTCCTCTGTTGTGTAACTGCTAACAAAACTCAAATATGGTACGGCAACTTCAAACAGTTTGACAAGGTGGACTCTTTGGGTAAGACGCTTTGTAGTAAACGTTACACACTGTCTGCTTACAGGTGTCATGTCAGCTCACCTGGCGGAACAGGTAAGACAGCAATATGAGATATTCGCAGAAGACGACATATTCCCGCATTAGTCTCAAAAACACCGCGTACAGAAACATTAAATACTTACACATTTAAGTGTTGGCTGCCGGAGGGAGAGTCCATCAACTCCGGTTAGGAAATGCGTAACTTTCTCGCCGCTGTCGCCATGACGCAGTGCGCTGAATACCTGACAGGACGGCGCGTGGAAAGACATTCAGTGTCACAGACCACCTCGCGCTAAACTTTATGACGACATGAAATCCACCTGTGGAGGTTAGGCTGAAAACAAACTGGTAACAAGGTCTTAGCCACAACCTGGCTTATTCATCAGGAACTGTATCGGATTTCAGTTCAGAGTTTAACCCTTAACAGTTGATCAGCTCTTAGATTTACAACATTATCTTTAATGACAGGGAAATGCAACAATGTGATGCAAAATAAATTATATACAAAGGTAAAATAATTATAAAAATGTTACACATTTCAAGACAACAGTTCATTATTGTTGGACTTATATATAGATAAATAAAAAACTTTTTTAATGGCTGTTTTATATTAAATAAATACTTAAATTGTGTAAATTCTGCAGTATAATAATGGTGTAGGGATATTTATACCTCCTTATTTCTACAATAGTTCTGTGAGTAGCCCCACTTTTTTTATTTAAATGTGTAGGAAATAAACGCAGAGCAGTGTTTACAGCACTGTCATGTGACATGGTCTCCCTCTGCTGGTGCATTCACTGACCAGCTCTGCAGCTTCAAGTGTCACCACATCAGTGCTATTGGAAAGAGCTGAGGAAAATCAAATCAAATGAAAACCTGAACTCTACGAGACAGCCATCATCCTCCATCACTCTTGTTGAACATTTGTGAGAAAATGTCGATATATTCCTTTGTGGGACACACAAAGCAGTCGCAGTTATTGTGGAGAAGATAACGATGGTGTACAAGTCAGAATCACTGGTTTCATCCTTTTGCTTTATTGTTGTTTAGATTTCAGTTGCGCTGTCCAAACTCCCAAATTCCCTTTCTGGCATGGGAGACTAAATAATTTATCCGTATTGGCTGTGTAGCGAAAGTTCAGGACATCTGTTTGAATTTTTTAAACAAGCATGAATCTTTCATCTCTTTCTTCACGTCAGCAGATCTCAGGGAATTCTAAAAATGTGCATGGCTTTTACAGAGAGAGTGAGAGCAACATAGAGAGAGAGAGAGAGAGAGAGAGAGAGAGAGAGACTGGCCATGACTTATTTACATGTTCATATCAAAGTTGATACAGGCCCTTCCTCTCAAGCCTCTCAGTTTAATGGCTCTTACAGATTAAAGGGGAGACTAAATAGGGCTTGATTTGAGTTCATGTCTGCATAATAGGCTTTTGGATTGAAACTGAACTTCTTGATGACTTAGTGCTCCCATTTGTGAGAGATGGATCTTCTGTCGTCCAATCAAAGCTACGGAGGGAGGGAGTGTGGTTGTTTTAGTGCTCAGAGGAAGTCAGCACATAAGTGCTTATCAGCTGCTTACAGGCCGACGGTCAGTCTGGTCTCCACTGAGGAGCCTCGGATGTTGTGGGAAGAGGGACCATGTTTGATGGTTCTGATATATAGTCTATCTGATGGTGAGGGAAGGGTCTCCCCAGGGATAGCTCTGAGCTCGGTGTGCTGTCTCTCAGAATATCATGGCTTGTCACAAGTTGCTGTATAAGTAGGAGTGCCTTCGTCTCCAGCTTTCATGTTTTATTTAAAATGCTGTCTTACTCAGAGAGTGCTGCTAACTCATTGAATGTGATCTGTCTCAGCGTTCCCTATTTTTTCGGGTCTCTTTCTCCCCCTCTGTCTGTGGCTGTGTTTGATCATTTGACTGTGTGCAGATGTGCTTCACAGTGTATGAGGATGTGTTTCAGCAGTTTAATTTCAACAAGGTGTCAGTCAAAATGCATAATCCTTGTGCAGCAGTTTGATGAGGATTAACCACAAATTGAACAGCACTTTAGGTGCATCAAAGCCACGTAATTAACTTCTTCCTTTCAGAGGGAACTAATCCTCCGCCCAAAAATGTATTCTCTGTCATAGTTGCAGCAGTTCTCAGGTGCTGATTCGGTGACTCATTTTTGTTGTTTCTCCTTTCTTTTTGTCAAAGATGCTTCAGTAAAAGCCAGCTTCCACTCACAAAGTAAACATGTGAGGTGAGGCTACAGCCTGGGTTTGGAGGATAAACACAGTACTCCAGTCTAACTGGTTCATCCGGAACATCTGCAGTTTTTTGGATAACCACATGTGCTTGTGTGTATGTAAACACTTCACCTTTTATGCAGGTGAGGTGTCCATTCCCATTTTCTGGCAGACGAAGTCCAGCTGACAGCAGGGTGATGTGTTAATGGCCTGCAGTGTGTTGTCACTTGAGGTCAACTGACCCAGACACGACTGCCTGAAAGCCTGGAATGTAATTTTAGGAAGGAAATGTATGCAGAGCAGCAGGCAGCCCTCCACCAGATGCTTTCATTAACATCCATCCATGAAGCAACTTTGCGATTCTTCCACCCACAGTTTGTTCTGCCTGGTCCTCCTCTGCCAGCAGATTGAATCCTATAAATATTTCATATTTGATAAATAAATGAAACAACCTCTTTTCTTACTTCTGGGTAGCGCACTAAGTTGCTCCCCTACGTATGCAGGAGTCAGCAGCTCTGACATTGTTTCAGTCGTTGCCTAAATTAGGATTGGCTCAGGGACATTTTCATTTATTTTTTCGAAATAAGCATCAGATGCATCTGTTCTTCTTTTTCAATAATAATAAGTGCTTCTTTTGAGATAGATTTAAGATTTCCAAAGCATTTCATGAATTAAATATTTTGTAATGTGTGTTTCTTGAGGAAAATAATAAATATACTATTCTCTTTTCTCTCAGCGGCCTAAAAAAAGAAGCTACATGCATTTCTGCCTCTCGGAAGATACCAGAGTATCTTAGCCCATCATGTCATTATTGACCTCATTTGACAGTTGAGCCCTCCATACATTACTCACATGGGACATATGCTATTTACAGCTGCTTTACTTATCAGACTGCAGGCGGTGTGCATCAGTAGCACTGTCGGTCATGTGACTTTTAACCTAGCTAAAAACACAACCTAAGGGAAGTGGGGCTGAGGGGTGGGAGCTTTGCGCCAATTACAGCTAAAGCACCTGAGCCAAAAGTTTAAGCTCTCCTGTTGCGTGGCTTTTTTTTGTCTGCAGTAACGATGATGCTGAAGTCTTTTGGTGTGCAAATGCTCCAGCAGCTGTTTGAGTTGGAGATGTGCATGAGGGAAACTAAAAATAGGACATGCACACCTCTGAGCCAGCTGCTTCTTCACTGCCTGTGGGACTGCCTTTGCATCTCCCCTCTCTCCTATTTCAGCCCTCTTGCTCTCCTCCCTCTCGCAGAGTAGCTGTTGTTACTCCTCTCTCTCTTTTTGCCAACTTTTCTTAGTCCCTGAATCAGGCCTTGTTTGTCTGGCCAGTCCTGTGCTGGCATGAAAAAACCTGAAACGGGACACCGCTTCTCCTCACTATGGTCCATTATCCAACCTGATGGGAAACTGGAACACTGTGGCACAGTACTGAAAATGTCTCCATCCCATGAGCCTCGGATCCAATTATTTGAGAAGCACACAGAAGTTTACATCCATCCCAAATAAAGAAGATCTGGTGGTTAAAAGGATATTAATATCAGAAAATGCATGTTTGAGAAGGATCCTAGACAAATGCCAAACATTTTTGTATTCCAAGGTTGGCGGGACATCAAGCAGGCTTTGGTTCGGTTGGAGGTTTATCTTTGTACTATTTCCTTCTTATTAATAAAAATAAAAACTTCTTTTAAGTACTTAACTTCTCATCTGACATCTGACAATGGTAATTTTGGCATTTTCTATTATGTTTTTGCACAACAGTGTAAAAGAAAAACGCTGGCAATACTCACAAACCAACAATTAAATAATCCAAATTTTGCCTGCTAGCTAACAGGCGCAGATCTAGAAAATATTAATATGCTGGCAAGCTGGTGGCATAAATATATTCTGATTTAACAGCAATCACATATATCAGTATTTGCTTGGAAAAGCCCCCAAGTTAAGATCTTTTAACTCAAATTATTGTGGCACATTAGTAAAGCGTTGATATATCTAAACATAGCACTAGAAATCAATCTTTTATTTTATTTCCGAATACATGTCTTTTACTGAACTTAAACTTCATCTAAAATGAGGCCTGATCATTAAATTATGTGTTCATTTTTGTTTTTCATTTCAGACCAAACTGGGGTGGCCAGGAATTTTAGGTTTTGGTTTCAGGCTTTTATGTTTGGGGTTTGGGAAGCAAATTCCTTCAACTCCATCTTCTTCATACAAGTCGGGACTTGCTACTCGCCCATCCACCATCCCTACTTCTACACATTTCCTCTTGCCTCGCTACATTAAAAACTTCCTGCATTGGTACTGAATGTTGGCACTGGACGTAAATAGTGAGGAGCAGAATCGTCCAATGTGGATGTAATCTGTATGAATGTCCAGCTGGTTATGAAGAATTTAGACACTGTTTATTTGACACAAAGTTTATTTTGAGTCAATCCCTCATCCTGGCACCAAATGTGTATCAATCCACTGCTGAAAATAGTCCCCAGCAAACACACTATTTTCACCTGTGTGAGTAATGTTAATACCCACTGAACCTTGTTTTAAAAATTAAACTTTATATTTGTGACCCATTTTAAAGATTTCTGTCAGGAGAAACAAATGGGCTTTGGACTGAGTACTGTAGAGAGGTCTAAGAGCATGACATACTAGCTCATCGTTTTTTTGACAGCAAGGAAAATATAGAGTAACACCAGCCTTATTTTTTAAGTAGAGCAACAAGCCAAAAGGCGTTTTGTACTTGTAATTTTGCAGAACATCAATTCAGAGGTGAAGCAGCTTTGCAGACAAAGACATGACTCTTTTCCATGAAGGACAAAATTCAAGCTAGCCAATACGCATGTATTCTGCATGGCCTATGCATAATAATATTTAGCATCCCTCAAGACTGTGTGAACAGGAAAATTCTCTTTCACATAAATGCAGTAACATGATTATTATGGCCTGCCGTATGTGTGCGGATGATGAAAGTAATTCACATCTGAAATGACTGACCGAGTTTCTTTCACTCATCTCCCGTGGAACAAACCCCCTCAATCACACCCTTTGATGTGCTTTTGTGTATGTCTAATTCCCATTCAGTAGGCAGATACATGTGTCACACTGTTTGCTTGGTATCAATTTTGGAGAAAGACTGAGCATTCAAAATAGGT